TAAGAAGTGTAACTGTTGAATGGGATAATCTGGAACAACTTGATCAGCCCGGACATTACGGCCTGGCTCTTTCTTCCACAGAGTGGTTTTGTCCAAGAAACCTTAAACCTGTGCCAAACATTTCCCAGTCAGCTCACTCTTTTCCTGGGAGAACTGGATATTCACTTGAACTGAGTGCCTTTTAGTCATGAATGACTTGCAACCACCTAATAAAATCTACAAGGATCACCAGTTCCTGGTGCTTCTGGGATGTGCTGGACTCCAAGTTGCCTAAAAAATAGGCTGTAAAATAGTGGAACTCTGGAGGCCATTTAGTCCAGTGCTGCTCAAACAGTACCAGCGCTGATCAAAGGGAGCTGCAATGTGGCTGGAAAACAGGTTGTAATTAGATAACCAACGCATTGGTTTTCAGGTCAAGCGCGTGTGTAAGCAGATCGTCGTTGGGGGCACATATCAGGATGTCATCCATGTAGTGTTGTATAATTACGCCCTTGGTGGCTGCGCGGACAGGGGACAGCAATGAAGAGACGTAACATTGGCAAATAGTTGGAGTATTTTTCATTCCCTGAGAAAGAACTCGGCAATGGTATCTCTTCACTGGGGCTTCTTGGTTGCTGGAGGGAACGGAGAAGACAAAACATGGCGCATCTTCAGGGTGCAGAAGAATTTGAAAGAAGCAATTTTTTATAGCAATGACAGCCAGATCCCAATTTTGCGGTAACATCGTGGGGGGCGGCATTGCTGGTTGGAGAGGGCCCATGTCTTCAATAACTTTGTTAATGGCACAGAGGTCATGGAGGAGCTGCCACTCGTCTTTGCTCGGTTTTTTTAAAACAAAGACAGGGGAATTCCAGGGGGATGTTGTTTTCTGTCTGTTCCCCTGGGCGAGTTGCTCCACCACGAGCTCCTGGAGCGCTTTTTGTTTTTGCTTGTTGAGCGGCCACTGCTCTACCCAGATTGGTCTATCAGTCAGCCAGTTTAATTTCTGGGTAGGACACCTCTCAGCGGCCACTGCCTGAAAAACCTGGGGGGTTGGAATGTCAATTGTGACCCCCCACTGGGCCATCAGGTCCCTCCCCCACAAGGGTTCCGTGTAGTCTAATACAAACGGACAGAAATATGCCGATTGTCCGGTTGGCCCCTTGGATTTTATGACATTCTTAGATTGTTTGGCCAATTGGGTGCCCCCTACACCTTGAATCTGTCCAGCCACATCCTGCAATTCCCATCGTGAGAGCCAATCCCACAAAGGGATAACTGTTACATTTGCCCCTGTGTCAAGTAATCCATTTAGATACTTGTGCTCACCCCCTTTCCACATGCAACATGCTATCTTTGGTCTGTCCTTCCCAGTACCTGGGCTTAACATACTTGCTAGATTTGTTCCAGGGTCTTCTTCCAGAGATCTTCAGGGTCAACTGGAGGCCCAGGTATGGGAATGGCCTGCGCTATAATCTGGCCTTTTGGAAGGAAGACCGGCAGGTGAGCACAGTGCAGCCGCACTACTAAATGTTTTGGATTAGATGGTGTTAAACTGGGTGCAATGGTAATGTCAACGGGTATGAATTTTGTGTCCCCAAGAATGATGTACTTACTGCAGATGTTCCTCCAGGTTCTGGGGTCCTTAGCGTCCATGCCGATGAAGTGCCAATCGGTGTCAGGCAGATACAATGGCTCAGTCAGGGCCAACCTATAAAGGGAGAAATTAGATTGGATGTTAAGAATTGGTTTGGGATGGTCGGGGTCCCGACCAAGCCACATCTTGGAAATGAAGCTAACATCCTCCCCCATATAGGTTGGTTCATTGAGAAGAGTCACATCCGGTGAAACGTCATTATCGGTATTTGTGTCACAGTTCGAGTTCTTAGGTGGGTGCCTTGCAACTTTGTCCCTCCCCTCTGGTAATGTTAACTGTCCTGCCTCATTTATTTCTTCACGCAGGGAGGGACTGTGCTGGCTATCTAGTTTTTTGAATTTCCTCCTTGGTGGAGGGTGCTTCGCCCTTGTTGTTGCTATTGCTTGAATTTGAGAAAGTCCTCTTTCATTGGGCATTGATGTGCCCAATGGCCCTTTTGGTTGCAAAGGTGGCAGGTCTTCTCCGAGAGATGTCCTTTAGATGGTGGCCCTTGGAAGTGGTGCTGCTGCAGGAGTTGACTTACTTAGGAATCATAGCCTCAGCAAAGGAGACTCTCCAGGATGGTGGTTGGGGAGTCCCATGGGGATCCTTTACAGGAATGGTAACTTTTCTTGAGCAAACATGTAATGTGTTCTGCAATGTGGGTTCCGGATCGAGGGGTAGTGTCCAGGGTTGTAAGATAAGCTTGTATTCTATTTGCCATCTGTTGGAGGTTGGGCAGGTTTGTTATCTCTTCCAAGAACAATGGTTTGCTCCAAAGAGGTAATGGTTTGTTAATGGGCCATTGACTGACTCACTGCAGGGCTGGTAACGTAACACCATCCCATTGTGAGATGCTCCACCGAGAGGGGGAAGCCAAGCACTCTTTTATTGTATAAAATGGTACATTTTGGGAGACAGAGCAGCTCTCTCTTTGCGGGATTCCCAGAGAAGCTCCTTCGGCAGGATTCCCAGAGAAACGGCCGGAGCACGGTGAGGCGGCGGCAGCAGCGGAGCTCGGAGGCGGCCCCAGCGCAGAGGAAGACCGGCCCAACTGCCACCAAATCTTCAGAGAAAACTATACCCTTCTAAAGATCACCACTTCAGCTGCAATTCATCAGCCACTGCAAGAGGAGCAGCTGTCATTTCAACCGGACTGCTACCAACACCCCAACTCCTCAGGGTGTCAGGTTGTGGACTTTATCACTAGTTTTGTTTGTACCAATTGCGTTTGCCTTTTTAAATTGTTATCTAGTTTTCTCCTAGTAAAGAATTGTTACTCCCATTCCCATATCTTTGCCTGATAGGCTTTTAATATAAAAATCCTGGTAATTCGAAGGGAGGGGGTTTACCTTCTCCATTGCACAGGAGGCTTTTGCACTCCTTCACAGACTCCTGTCTTGTCAAACCAAGACACCATGCTTTTCAGGAGCTTACTGGTCCCCAGGGCTGCCAAAGTGCAGCCTCTGGTCTGTGGAGAGAGACTAAAGTCATGCAAATCCCCCTGAGAATGGAACATGATCACAGAATCCTGAAACCACAGTGATCTGGGTTGGAAAGGATCGTGAAGAGCATCTCATCCCAACCCCCTGCCACAGGCAGGGATAGCTTCCACTATACCAGGGGGAATCCTTTAAACATTATCCTCCATTTTGCTCAGTTCCCAGTCCAGAATGATCTATTGGATTTTACAATCATTACATTTCTGTCTAATCCAAATTAGAAATTGGATTTCCATCAAACAGCTGGAATCAGAATCCATCCATGCTGTGAAATGTGTGGGAACTCAGCATCCCAGCTTAGGCACAGATGACAACATACAATGGATATAGACTGCTGACTCACACACAACCTTAGGAAATGAAAGGATAAAGTCCACATCCAGACAAAATGGGCAATATAAAA